AGGGCGAAACCTCGGCTTGCAATCAGATCAATGGCACCGACGCCTCCTCCTACCCGCCATTCCGGCAACGCGGCGACTCCATGTACATCTTCAGCGCGGACATCTGTCGCTCAGTGCAGCTGTTCTATCAGTCGGACATACAGTACCAGGGCATACCGGGCTTCCGGTACTCCATAGGCGAGAACTTCATCAACGACATCGGACCCGAGCACGACAACGAGTGCTTCTGCGTGGACAAGCTGGCGAATGTGATCAAGCGCAAGAATGGCTGCCTCTATGCGGGTGCACTGGACCTGACCACCTGCCTGGGTGAGTAACCGATGAAGTAGATTGAAGATTTATTACTTGCCCACCGTCTTTAGACAACCGAGAACTGCTCTGTATAGCATATCTCTCCTACTGCCTAATTTTCTTACATTATCAAATGTGTTGAGGTGTCATTCGACTATCTTAATGTATGCACATTAATTTGAGCCCCTAACTAGACTCGAATAGACTCGACTATGCTAGACTTCGATATCGCTTTGCCTAAATTATTTGAGCTGTATATCCACTTTAAGTGCCCATATATTTATGTCTATAAAATATACATTTGACAGCTTATTGTTTTTTCTTGCTTCACAGCATTTTATCTGTTATGCTAACGACTCTTCAGGCCATTAGTATGGGCATTTATGAGACCTCCCCCAACGAGTTAAAACTGTTTAATTTCCTAGCTAATTATCTAATCGTGTTCGTCACAGCCAAAATCAAGCGAGATAAAACTATTTTCAACTGGGCCATAAAATATGTAGAGCTATCAGGTTGGGATTATGAGATAATTTATGCAAAGGCAATCCAGAAAATCCGGAAATGCTTAACGTATGCCAGTTTATGCGTCCAACATGTTTGCTTAGCTATTGATAGAATATTCGGATTCATATGCAAATCATTAGCTATCTATATACACATGTTTCGATACATATTTGGAGCTCTAAATCAATTGTCAATTGTAAAGTTTCGATGCGATACTCTATAGTTTCGAGTGTCTAGTGTCTCTATATCAAATGCAAATTTGAACAAGCTCAAGTCTTTTTTTTTCCAGGTGCAAAACGCACAGCTCATCAAAGTTAAGTTATGCGCTCGCCAATCAAATAGTCATTAGAAGCCGAATATAAAATTCTTTTGAAGCATCTTAATGCCAAATTAAAACTGTTTTTATTTCTATCATTCATACGTGAATTTGAATTTTGCGCATGCGCAAACAGAACAAAAACAAATTGCAATTTTTATTGTGCGTGGGCTGAACTAAATCGTTTGATCTTTATATCAATACACTAAGAGCATGGAGTTTTCATGTTTCATTTGATGATCTGAGTGAGGCTGTATTACATAAAACGTTACATAAAAGTCCTGTTTGCATTTTTATTTGTGTGAGCAAAAAACATTCGCTATTAATGAGAGAACTCAAGTATATGGAATTTTAATTTTAATTTTAATTAATGGTTTTTATTCCAAGACGACAGCAGCTTTTAGGAATTATGGGTATTTTCGACTTAAGGCGTGTCAAGCGTGAATATACTATTTCTCATAAGATTTCAGGTTGAACAAACATTTTATAGTTTAACCAATAATTTGATATATGTAAATACCATTTAGCCACGCTTATCTAATCACCGAATATAAAGGCTGAGAGTGTCTTACAGCAAGGCAAACACATTTGACTTAATGTTTCCCTGCTCTACAAATCTATTGGTATATAAGAATATATTCAGAATGATTCAATATGCATATATATAAACTATATTATGANTATTAATATAATTATATATATACATATATGCATATGTGTCGAAAAGAAGTTTGATTAATCCACTAAAATCTATTTAGAAACGAGGCTAGGTAGGCTCAAAATTTTCCTTATAGAAAACTTTTAAAATATTTTCATATCATCTTGATATCTACCTATTGCAATATATTCGAGCTCAGCCACAAATAAATTCTGCTCTTACTGGTTACTCTGAAAACCTGTCTACAGGTTATATTTTATTCAATCTGTTGTGGCAATGGAGACACATATTAATCAGGGATGATTAAATAGCAACGCAAGTATAACATTATGTATAAATATAAAGCTGACAAACCTTAGATACTAAATTACTTATTGAATATATATATTTTATTTAATATATACTTACTATACTACCTTACCTTCTTTGCCTATGAGAGCGTTAACTATTTACTATTCCTTTCAATGCCCAGCCATATTGATCTGGCCGTTGTCCATTGCTCTACAGCTGCGTCGTTTATTGACCCATTCCAACTCGCATTTATTGTTAATTTCTTAATTAACACTTCAGAACAAGCAGCTGCAAAAAATGGATGGAGCAGAGGAGCAGCAGAGCAGCAGCCATAAGAAGATAATTTGTATTGCGCATTTGAAATGAAAAGTGTTGCTGGGTTGGTTTTATGGCTTCTGAAGTGCTCATCGGCTCATTATGATCTTCTCGAGAGGCGCTCTACAAATTGAAGCATTAAATTCCACATTCACATATTTATTATGATTATTTCTTATTTTGTTTGGGTGTTTGCCTGTTTGCTCGACGCACGTTTCAGCCAGATTCATAGATTCTTGGCTCGCTTTAATTGGCAAAACGTGAGTAAACAGTTTCAGTAATGAGCAGCATTTGGTAATGTTTGTCTGTGATATTCGCCATGCTACCCACCAAATGAGGAAACTCTCGTGCAAATTGGTCCAATGCTAATACTAAATAAATAAATAAATATTTAATAAATAAACGTAGACGTTACTTCCGTGCTGAAAGAATTTTATAGCTGTCCAAGAGTTATTGAAAACATGGCCAAGTCGTGGGCAGCTCTGGCTGGCTGACTGTCTCGATCTGGCTTACATATCCATTGAACTTCAATGATTATAAAGATATTTCGAATATATAGATATTATTTTATATTTTTATTACACGCTTCTCGAATAATCCTGTTTTCTTGCTCGTGTTTTGTAAACAATTTTAACGGCTTCATTGGCATTTTAATTCGGTTTCGATGCAAATCCCAAAGTCATATAATGCTCATCCCATCTCATGGCAATTATTTTACATTACAGATGCGCCCGTCATACTGACGCTGCCTCACATGCTGGGCGCTTCGAATGAGTATAGGAAAATGATTCGCGGCCTCAATCCCGACGCCAAGAAGCATCAGACCTTTGTCGACGTGCAAACGGTAAGTGGATCCTTGAACTCTCGAAAATGTTTATTGAAATTTATAATAAATTACATAATTATATATTAATATCAATGAAACAGCTGACGGGCACGCCTCTGCAGGGCGGCAAGCGAGTGCAGTTCAATATGTTTCTGAAGAGCATTAATCGCATTACCATCACGGAGAACCTGACGACTGTGCTAATGCCAGCCATTTGGGTAGAGGAGGTGAGTAAAGTGCTGTCCAGCTCAGTTTCGAGCACAGCCTATACTATTTACTTTTACAGGGTATTCAACTGAATGGCGAAATGGTGCAGTTCTTCAAAAAGAAGCTCATCAATACGCTGAAAACTCTGGACATTGTGCACTGGGCGGGCCTGTGTGGCGGCGTCGGCGTGGCAGCTTTTGGCCTCATCTACTATATCTACCAGCGCGGCAGACCAGTCAAGGAGCTCGTCAAGTAGGCAGAGGCAGAGGCAGCGGCAGAGGCAGAGCCAGGCCAGAGGCTGCGAGTATCTAAATGTTATAAACTTATTACTACTCATAAAGAGAAACTACTACTACTATTATTATTATTGTTATTACTATTGTAACACTCGACTAGAATTGCTCACGAATTTTTGTATATAATTTATTGTTTAAATGTGATTTTATTATATTGTGATTTAGCGCGTACTAAAAACTATGTTTAAACTAAAAATACAAATAAAATGAAACGAAAACAGCTTCACTCTGTGTTTCCTAATGGATTCCTTTGGCTATGTGTAAGCTTCCGAAGAACTCAATTAGGCTCTTCTGGGAAATAGAATCGACTCTATTTGACAAACAACACTTAACCGCAAAATGTTGCTATAGCTCTTAAATCCAATTTACACACTCGAAAACCATTAGCCGAGCCAAGTTCAAGATCAGCGCGTCGCGAGTGTCAAAGAAATACATAAATTATTCATTTAGTGAATCAATCAATGGCAGTAAAAAAATACAAAAAAAATAAAATAAAAGTTCATTAAATACTATGCTCAACTGCAAATTAAAATAGAGTTGTCTTGAATAGTTGCTAAAAAAAATAAATAATAATAAGAAAAAAAAAAAAAAAAAAACACAAGAAAAAACCTGTAGATGAGCTTAGGCAATGCGTCGATCGACTACGGAGGATTGACCAAGTCCAATGAATGCAAACAAATAACAACTGAAATAACCAAGAGACAACAAAAGCGCCAAGGTGTTTGATTTCAATGCGATTGAGACACAGACACTCAGCCCAGACACCCAGCCAATGGGGAGTGGTTGGGGTCGACTCGCTGGGCCTGTCACTCACTTTGACAGCGCCACTGGCAGGCGTTTAAAAACGCGTCGCAAAAGTCGCGCGCGAGCATCCCCAACCAGTTTTATAAGATCGAAATGAAGCTGTTCTTTATCTAATATATATTCGAAATTCATTTCATTAGCGAATTTCTAGCTAATGGCCCCCGAAACTTTCACGCATCTATAACGATCCATTATGTTGCCCCCACCGCCGCCCCCCTTTCCCAGCTGGGTGGGACACCTTTTAGACAAAGTGTCTGCGCCCGAGAACCTTTCCATTCTATGCCAATGGAGCTGGTCAATAATTATGCAATACGCACACACACTCTCTCACACACACACACACACACACACATATGGAGTGTGTGTGTGCTCCGCAACCAGTTTGGCTTCGCTGTCGTCATACCGCACATATTCAAATAGCCCCAACTTGGCTTTTGGCTGGGCTCAAGATGAGACCCGCTGACACTGGCCCGCTCAGTCGACTACGAAACGCGCTAAGGCACGCAGCGCCCCCCTCGAAGAAGCCTCTGCTTGAAAATATCATTTGAAATTTAAATTTCACTTCAATTAATTTCGTCTCGATTCGGTTCGCTTCGGCTCGGCTCGACTCGGCTAAGGACTGTCTCGTTCTCTGACTATATAGAGCAGCATATATATATAGGGCGCCGAGCGCAGTGTTCTGTGTCAAAGCATCGCAAGATGTTGTCAGTGTCGCGCTCATKCTCGCTGCTGCTGCTCTGCCTGCTACTGCCGCTGCAGCAGAGCTCGGCCAGAGTCTTCGAGCGCTGCGAGCTGGCTGCCCTGCTGCAGCAGCGATACGGAATGCCCGCCGCCCAGGCCGCCACGCTGGTGTGCATTGCCCAGCATTCGAGTGATCTGAATACGGCTGCCTTTGGCGGTGGCAGCGGACCGGGCGGCGGCTCGCACGGCCTCTTCCAGATAAGCGACGTCTACTGGTGCTCGCCTCCGGGCCACGGCGCTGGCTGTGGGCTGAGCTGTTCGCGTTTGCGCGACGACGACATTGCGGACGATATCGCGTGTGTGCGTAAAATCTATGCGGAGCATCAGCGCATCTCCGGAGATGGCTTCACCGCCTGGCAGGCCTACAATGCGTACTGTCGCCAGGATGCCGCTTCCTATGTGGCTGGCTGTGGCAATTCCAATGCTCTGCAGGTGGCTGCCTCCTACCAGCAGGCGCAGCACGCGCACCAGCAACAGTTGCAGGTGAGCTATTATCATCAGCAACCGCTACAGCATCAGCAGGCGTTGGCTCCAGCGCAGAATCAGGGCAAGATCTATAGCCGCTGTGAGCTGGCGCAGGAGCTGTTCTACCAGCACAAGCTGCCCATGCAGCAGATACCCACCTGGGTGTGCATAGCCCAGCACGAGTCCTCCTACAACACGGCGGCAGTGGGTCGTCTGAATGCCGATGGCAGTGCGGATCACGGCCTGTTCCAGATCAGCGATCTCTACTGGTGCACACACGACCAGCGCGGCGGCAAGGGCTGCCATGCTGCCTGCAATCAGTTCCTGGACACCAGCATCGCGGACGATGTGCAGTGCATACGCCGCATCTATCAGGAGCACACACAGATTTCGGGCGACGGATTCACGGCGTGGACTGTCTACAATCGGGACTGTCGCAACCAGCGCTACGAGCAGGTGGCCGCCTGCTTTGCCAAGCCGCCTCTAGTGGCCCCTGCCACGCATCCTAATGCCATTGCCGGGGGCAGCAAGGTCAGCTATGCCTATCCGTTTGCGCAGCCGCAGCTGCTGGCTCCTGCCACGACGCCGAATCCCTACTACAGGCCGACCCACAAGCAGATCACCTATCAAGCAGTGCAGGCTGTGTCCAGTTATCAGAGCAATCCCTTCCTGCGCCCTCGCCTGCCTTCGCCCACGTCGCACACTCAGTCGCATCCCAATCTCATTGGCAGTCCTGTTAAGTCGCATTTCGCAAACGTTTATAGCACGCCAGTAACGAATCCGTTGCTCGCCTACAAGCACCACACAACACCAAAACAACAAATACAGCAGCTACACTATTCATACCAACAACAGCAACAACAACAACAACACTATTACACAACACCTAAGCGAGCTGGTAAAGTTTATAAACGCTGTGAATTGGCCCAAGAGTTGTATTTCTCACACAAGTTTCCAATGCAGGATTTAGCTACTTGGGTGTGCATCGCAGAGCATGAGTCCCGTCTGGATACGTCGGCGGTGGGGCGACTGAATGCGGACGGCAGCGCGGATCACGGTCTCTTCCAGATCAGCGATCTCTACTGGTGCACGCATGGCGGGGGCGCCGGAGGCAAGGGCTGTCACATCGACTGCGATCGTCTACTGGACTCGGATATCTCCGATGATGTCAAGTGCATTCGGACAATACACGAGGAACATACACGCATCTCTGGCGATGGCTTCACAGCCTGGACAGTGTATAATCCCCATTGCAGGGATCGTAGCCGAGCAGAGATTGCGAGCTGTTTCGAGCCGAGTGAGTTGGAAAAGGAGCCTGTAAGACCAGTGAAGCCCGCAAAGCCGGCATATACTGAACTGGTAAGGAAACCTAAGCCCAAGGGCAAGATCTACAGTCGCTGTGAGTTGGCAAAGGAATTGTATCACAAGCACAAGGTGCCCATGCAAGAGGTACCCACCTGGGTGTGCATAGCGCAGCATGAATCTTCCTTCAACACAGCTGCAGTGGGCCGACTGAATGCGGACGGCAGCGCGGATCACGGTCTCTTCCAGATCAGCGATCTCTACTGGTGCACACATGGCGGAGGCGTCGGAGGCAAGGGCTGTCACATAGATTGCGATCGCTTACTGGACTCGGATATCTCCGATGATGTCAAGTGCATTCGGACTATACATGAGGAACATACGCGAATATCAGGAGATGGCTTCACCGCCTGGACAGTGTACAATCCTCATTGCAGAGATCGTAGCCGAGCAGAGGTTGCCAGTTGCTTTGAGCCAAACGAGATAGAAAAGGAGCCCATAACACCAGTAAAGCCCGTAAAGCCGGCATACACTGAACTGGTAAGGAAACCTAAGCCCAAGGGCAAGATCTACAGTCGCTGTGAGTTGGCAAAGGAATTGTATCACAAGCACAAGGTGCCCATGCAGGAAATACCCACCTGGGTGTGCATAGCTCAGCATGAGTCTTCCTTCAACACAGCTGCAGTGGGTCGACTGAATGCCGATGGCAGCGAGGATCATGGATTGTTCCAGATCAGCGATCTCTACTGGTGCACGCATGGCGAGGGCGGTGGCAAGGCCTGCCACATTGAATGCGATCGTTTGCTGGACTCTGATATTACGGATGATGTGCAATGCATTCGCACTATACACGAGGAGCACACGCGCATATCGGGTGATGGCTTCAACGCTTGGACCGTATACAATGGTCACTGTAGAAACCAAAACTTGGCCCAGTTGAGTGATTGCTTTACAGGCAATGAGATTTCCGAGGCACAGAAGCCCAATCACTATGCGAAGCCACCGAAGGCGCCTGTCCAGCAGCACCAGGCTGTTGTAAAGATCGCAGCTAATCATGACTATGGCGCAAATCCTTTTCTACAACGTCTGAGCGCAGCACCGACTGCGAGACCTCCAACAGCCAAGCCTACAACCGCCAAGCCTGTCAAGCCTCCAGCCCATGTTGCTGTGGTACCCAATCATCCATTTGGCGCAAATCCCTTCTTGCAGTTACTCAAACCTCAGCAGCAACCTGCAGTAGTCAAGCCCGTAGCTCGGCCTGTTGCATCTATTGGGCAAGCAGCTCCATCGAAAACCGAATATAGTCATAATCCCTTTTTAAAACCTTTTAATAAACCTTCAACTAGCACTATTCAAGCCTCAGTTGTAAATAAGCAAACAGTTCTATCTAGTCCATCCTCAGCTGTATCAAATACATTCTTGAGTCTTGTTAATAAGCCAGAAGCCGATAAACACAAAATATCTACGACTTCTAGACCTGTAAAGGCTACGCATCATCCTTATATAAGCAGCGATAGCTTTCGACAGGAGATTATTAAATTTACGGCCACGTCGTCAGCAGCGACGACAGGTCTGCAACAATCAAGCAAAAAAACAACAGCGATTACAACAAAGCCATCAACAACACACAAAACAACAGCTCACTCAACAACAACCACTATTCGACCCCATACAACAACAGCTCGTCCATTTACCACAATTAGGCCAGCTACTACTTTGAAAGTGACAACTCGTTCGCCAACAACCCGGATATCGACAACAACAGCGCGTTCGATACCAACAACACGCCGTGTCACAACAACAACAGCAGCGAGGAAAACTACCTCCAGATCCACAACTCAACATACAACTGCAAGACCCACAGCTCGTACTACTACAGCCAGATCCACAACGCGAACTACAACTCGTCTCACTACGCGTACCACAACGAGGACTACAGCTCGTCCTACAACTCGTTCCACAACTCGTTCTACGCCTCGACCCACGGCGCCAGCCCCAACACGAACCACAGCGAGGACTACAGCTCGGCCTACCACAAGAGCTACAACTCGTCCCACAACTCGTACTACACCTCGTACCACAACGCCGGCCACAGCTCGTACTACAACTCGTACTACTACTATTCGTCCCACAACTCGAGCCCCAACTCATACTACAACTCGTACCACAGCGCGGACTACAGCTCGTCCTACAATCAGAGCTATAACGAGATCCACGACATCAACAAAGCCTGCAACGCGTTCTACAACAACGACACGTTCCACGACTGCCAGACCAACAGTTCGTTTAACAACCACAAGATCCACAACACTTCCTACGAAAGCAAGCCACACTGCACGTTCTACAACGCGAACCACACGTTCCACAACAGTTGCGCCCACAACACGCTCTACAACAACAAGACCCACAACACGTTCCACGACAAGAATTACAACACAGTCAACAACAACGAGGCCCACACTCCGCTCTACAACAACCTGGCATCCATTTGCAGCAACGCCAACAACAGCTGCAGCTCGCCCCAGCCTGAGAACGTCTACCACCTATAGAACCACAACTCGTCCATCGACAACAGCTCGGCCAAGCACCACCAAAAAGCCTCATCCATTCATCGTCCCATCGACCACGCCACGACCTTACTTGTTTACCTCAACTAAGTCACACACAACCACGCCAACTCTTCGCCCCACAAGCACTGTGAGGAGTGCTACGACAAAAGATCCATTTGACCATCCATTCTTTGCGAAATTTAAAGCAAAATTCGATGCAATTCGTGCGCCGCCATCAGCTGTCACTAAGCCCACCGCGACGTCCAGTTTGACCAACCAATCCAAATTTACTGCCAGCCCGAACTATGCCAAATTTCAGGAAAACAGTGCCAAGGTGGGAGCCAAAACGGTATATGAATACAATTTTGGTCAGAATCGAACAACGACGACGACTTGGCCCTACTCGACCAAAACCAGAACAGATCTAAGGTTGAGCAACAAGAATTAGATTTATGGTAGGGAAACTTGTAAATATTTTGTATAATGCGGCTAGTTAGGTTTGTAAATGACAGAATACTCATAAATTATTAATCTTAAGATACATAATTATGATTTAGATAATAAAACTGAAATGAAATACAAAGAAATGTACGCAAAAATTATTTAAACCAGTCTGAAGACCTGGCGACTTGTTGATGCTTAACGCTGCCAACAACATCGGCCGCGACATTAAGTGGATGTTTTTTGATTAATTTCATTAACTTGTTTTTGGTCGGGTGTTAGCCTTGTTAACATAAACAGCAACAAAAGCATATACACACGTCAACAATAGCGAATGGTGAGAGACAACAAGTTGTTGTGCATTTAAATTTAAATTAATTATTCTTTCAGAATCTTTATGTTCTGTATTTAACTTGATTCCATTCTATTATGATGTCAAAAGTTATTTTAAAATCGATAGTGCTGTATTATATTCCCGCCCACATGTCTGGTCATCAACAGCCTTTTATTATCGTTGTGGAGGCCGGCGATTGCGGGACATCATGAATTCGATATGCTGCGCTTTATTAACTAAATATTTAACATAAATGAAATATTGCAATTTTAAATTCTTTAATTAACAATACGTAATATAAATACTTAATTGTAAGTTATAATATTAAATACGAATGTAATTTGTTTAGTATTTTGCCCTTATTTTTTTCATTCGTAATTTTTTGTTTGCAAAAGTTGGTCACACTTCTGTAAAAACTAATCTGCTTTCGGTGGACGGTTCGTAAACATTCATTTGTTGATTTTCGGCAATAAAACACAACGTTTAACGTTTAAAATGCGCTCCAGTGAACCAAGTTCAAATGCAAAATGAATTGAAGTGAGTGCCTTTGTCAAATAAGCCACAAATTTTCAAAAACTACTGCAGCCTGTACCAACCAACACCAACATCACTTGCCAGCCGCCAGAAGATAGCAACAGTCAGCAAACGCCCTACTTAGCAACAAATTGCATTCTACATTATATTTTTGAAAATTCTTCATCCCACATATATTATATTTGTTTAAAAAACTACGTGTAATAGGTCAAATATTGATACACGAAAATGCGTCGGCAGAACGTGAGAGAATTCCAGGACAGAGAATGACAATTTTTTAATTTGCGTGAAGTCGGCTGTGCGCAATTTGTAACTCGCGTGAAGCTGGCTGCCCCTAACTATCCACTCTCTTGAAGTTGGCCGTACGCAGTTTTTGACTCGCTTCAAAAAAGCTGTACTTATTTTGGGCTGGCAGTGCCGTTGTTGTTAGCGACCTCTAGCGGCTGAATGTAACAATTTCAGCGTTGCCTTTTGTCTCGTACTTTTATCGACGTCTGTGCCCCTTGCGCGTTTACTGTCGTTTTGCACGCGCATTCGTGAAAATGGCGGCGTTGTCGCTCGGTCGCTGCCAAATTTTTTGTACATCCAAAATAATCAAAATAAAGCGACAATAAATACAGTGCTAAACAAACTGTCTGTGCCAGAGGCCGCGTACGCGCGTGTGTGTGAAAATACAATAAAAGAAAAACATTCTGGCCAACAAAAAGAAAATTTTTAACATTAATCAGCTAGCGACAAGGAGTTAACGTCGTCGTCGTCGCCAGCGCATCAGCAGCAGCAGCCGCGTGAATAAGCGAGTGCGATTGCAAGAGTGAGCGCTTTTCTGCGGTTTTCGTTTGTCAACGGAGCACCCAAAGGCTTTGGCCAAGGTGAATACGAATATAATTATGCTAAATTAGCATCGCATCGTCTCGTTTGTCGGCTTTCACCTGCGTCCCACACTCGCGGCCCGTCCCTTGCCTAGCAAACATCTGCGGCTCTTTCAAGCGAAAGGAGAAAGAAAAGAAAAAAATCCACGCACTCGCGTTTTATGACCCACAGGTATAACTATGCCACAGCCAGGTAGTGGAAGCAGCTGCAGCCCCGCGAGAGTGTAAAAACGATAATAATAACTTATGTGTAGGTTTTCCGCTATAAATACTAAAGTGAATTAAAATTTGCATTGCAGTTCGCATCGGACGGCTACACAGCATGCGAGTGTTAGACAGGAGCCGTAATATCCACATCAATAATAATAATTACAAYATGGCACAGACGCACAGTTGATCAAGAAACCAGGCGGCTAAAGAACGTCACAAGCAGAAGAGAATCTGGGAAAGAGGGCCGTGTCCATTTCCGGCTCTTCAAGCGCTAACGCTTCAAAAACCGAAACCGCCACCGCAAAGGTCAAGCAATGAATAGTAGCCAAACGGCGCCGCCGGCCACATCGACTGCCGGCAATCGTATCACCTTCACCACCCAGCCACTGCCCAATGGCACCATCAATATAGGTGGGCCAGGAGGCGGGGGTGTTGGGCAGACGATCATCTCAACAGCACAGCTGCCAAATACGACGACGATCAAGACCATAACAGCGGGCATTGGAGGACATGGGGTGCCCGGTCTGTCGCAAGTGCAACATCAGGTGCATCAGCAATCACATCAGCATCAGCAGCAACAGCAGCAACATTCGCAATCAGTAGGTGCCACCCAAACACAAACCTTAGTTATTAAATCCAATCACCATGCTGTCACCCTGCCGGCGGGTCTAGTATCAAGTGCACCAGCAGGAATCGTAACAATGACCAAGACCATCAATCAGGTATCCACCATCAAGCTAAACTCCCAACGTAATCGTCTTCTAGTGAGGCGATAGTAGCGCCAGATTCTGATGCAATTCATTTCGCATCTCTTTGCCTGCGTCCAATGGTTATTCCTGTTCCACACACACATACACTCATCCTCCTCACTTTCCAGACTCTCTTCAATCCCTTTTGTTTCCTACTGGACACGATTAGCGTGCCCAATTAAACTGTGACACTTGGAACGTCCAGTAGTGAACAGTGAACTATCGGTATAATGAACGCACGTACTAAATGATTAGGCGCTAAATTCAATTGGAAACATAATGTGGATACTAATTGAGAAATGTTTAAAAATTATATTAGAAAATCAAAAAGAAAGCTTCTTTGTGGTTAATTAGGTCACTGTATTGACTGTTCACTGTATTCAAAAATTTTGAAAATTATATTTATTTGTTGCGAAGCAACTTCCTGTTTATCGTTACTTATTACAAAAAAATAAAATCTATTTTTCTCTTAAAATGAAATTTCACAAATTGTGAATGCTCTGCTCACTGTCATACCAAGAGTCAAAGTCTCCTGCTCCACACTCTATGCCTTTAATTAAAACCCAAATTATGTATTATTTGTAGAGTTTCTCTTTGAACAAATCGCTTTTAAAACGGTCGCTTCTTTGTAGTACAGCTTGTAGATGACTTTCGAATTGGCCAGCACATTATTAAATAATATTCTCAATAATAATCTCATCATATTTAGTAGGCAATTTCATATGTTCCATCTAAATTTTAAATGTATTTGACACATACACACACATTCTTCCATGCACATTTGTTTGACTGTGATCTGTGAAAGAATGAACTGTGACACACTCAGTGACTGGACGCAACTCCTCTGATCTGCTGCATGTTGTAGTCAAAACAAAATGAACTATCAAAGCTTTTGTATGCCGCCTATAGAAACTCAAATATTCCAAAAGTATATTGCAATTGTTGTTCTAATCCTTGCTCCATCCACAGACCGGGCAGCCGCTGCTTAACTCTATGCTGCCTGCCGGCGTGGTGGTCGGCATGCGTCCGCAGGCGCCGACGCAGCAGCAGCCAAAGAATATGCCCGCAAATTCGCTCAGTCGTGTCGTCATCAGCAACTCTCACATGGGTGGCGTTAGGCCACAGAGTCCATCGGTAAGTGTGCACAATGAATGTTAAATAGAAGAATGCGTGTATTTGTAAGTTTTGTTGTTGTGGTGGGCTCTTCTCTACTAATCCACAAGGCTCCCTAATACAGCGCACACACTCATGCACCCAAATATCCCTCCCAAACCAAACACAAACACACACACATACACACACATACACATCTGTACATATACATGCATTTATATCAGCGGGTACCCCTTGTACTTGAACTTCTCTCTGTCTATTCTCTCTATTTCTCTCTCTATTTTAGATAACTTTAGGCACACTTAATACAGGACAAACGCCTGCACTGTTAGTGAAAACGGATAATGGATTTCAGTTGTTGCGCGTGGGCACGGCCACATCGACGGGCCCGCCGACGATGACACAGACCATATCTAACACCAGCAGCAACAACAACAACAGCAACAATAATAATAATAACAACACCACAACAACAACCACAAATCATCCCATAACCACACAGATACGTCTGCAAACTGTGCCGGCTGCAGCTGTAAGTAGATATCATGGCCAATCGTCATCACAACAGCAACAACAACAACAGCAACAGCAACAAACGCAGCTGCAGCAACAGCAACAACAGCAACAGCATCAAACAACAACACAAGCATCCTCGCAAGCAACTACTGCCAGCACTAGCATTGCACTGCGCAAAACGATTGTCCGTACATCATCCACAATCCTCCCATCCAGCAATAATAATATTAATAATATCACCACCAATACCACCACCACAACCACTACCAACAACAACAACAACAAACCCGCTACTAACTTGCATCAGCAGCAACAACAGCAGAAGCTACAGCTGCAAATGAAGCAGCAGCAGCAGCAGCAACAGGCACAGCAGCAACATAAGCAACAGCAGCAGCAGCAACAGGCCTCTGCCAGTGCCAACAGCGCAGCCGCCGCGGCAGCCGCAGCTGCAGCGGCAAATGTCGCAGCCACAATTAAGATCAAGCAAAACGTAAAAATCAAAGCCTCACTTGTATTGAAACGGGAATTCTCATATTCCCAATATTTTTCAATTTGCTCTATATATACTTATGTATTCTCTTAAACGCCTCTCTCTTGTCTGTTTATGCATTTGATCTGTTTTTTAACGCTACGCTTCAGTTTTCAATTTTGTTTAGACTTTCGGCTAAACTTCGAGCACTCGACTGTTCGATTGTTCGCCAAACTTTTTCAATTTTCATTTCAATATATCTTATACAATATATAAATATGAATATACATATATATTAATCGTACTTTTGCTCAGTTTTGCATGCTGCGTTGTAACTGTCTGTGTAATTGACTTGACGTATTCTTTTGATTTAGTTTTTTATACGCTGCGAAAATGCGTTGCTGTTCGTAAAAACAATCATCGAACTGAACTCTATTTGATCATTTAGAATCTAAGCAGCATAGTTATAAATGAACAAGGCATCAGAGGCTATTCGGGCTTCACAGGGGCGTGTGTGTTATTTGTCAAAAACAATAGATATTTTTTCTAAATCTACAACATTTGAATTAACTAATTTTATAATTACTTGAAGAATTTAAGAATATTTTTGGCGGTAACTATTTCCTAATTAATCACATGACCTCAATAACTGACCCGAACACCACTTGCACTCATTCCACACACACGCACACACTCCCACTAATAGGAGCCCGTAGCCCATGAGCGCCTGCATAAGAATCATTGAACTATATTCTCGTTTTAACTTACCGCTTATCGCTTTAATTTGCACTGACTACTCATAGTTTGTTCAGCTAATTGATTGTTAATCTGTAATATTTATTTCAACCACAGTCGATGACCAGCACCACCGCCTCCAGCAACATAATTGTCAACTCGGTGGCCAGCAGCAATGCGCACAGTTTCAGCAGCTCGTCACATCCGCCACAGTTGGCGCAGTTGCAGCAGCATACGCCGCATTTGCCCCAAGTAACGCAGATCCAAACGATACCAGCCGTGCAGCCGCATTCGCAGGCAAACAATGTCCAAGCGTCATCGACAGCGAATGTGACGTCAACGGCGAATACGAACTCAACAACAACGTCAACGGCAGCGCAGGGCAATACCAAAGAAAAGTGTCGCAAGTTTTTAGCCAATTTAATTGAATTGTCGACACGCGAACCGAAGCCGGTGGAGAAAAATGTACGCACGCTTATCCAGGAGCTGGTCAATGCGAATGTGGAGCCAGAGGAGTTTTGTGATCGCCTGGAGCGTTTGCTCAACGCCAGTCCACAGCCGTGCCTCATTGGGTTTCTAAAGGTAAGTAATCAAGTCAATCAATTTGATTCTTTGCTTTTGCTAATTTGCTGTACCATCTACAGAAAAGTCTGCCACTGCTGCGACAGGCGCTCTACACCAAGGAACTGGTCATTGAGGGCATCAAACCGCCTCCGCAACAAGTGCTGGGATTGGCTGGACTTCCGCCGCAGCTTCCGGTAAACATACCTAATGTTCATATAATCAATCAAATATCGATGATCCAACATAATCTTTCGACAGAAAATACAAGCGCAAATCCGGCCGATTGGACTCAGCCAGACAACAACCATTGGACAGACGCAGGTGCGAATGATAACACCAAACTCGTTGAACACGCCGAGGCCGACGATAGGCCATACGACTATATCCAAGCAGCCGCCAAACATTCGATTGCCCACAACGCCGCGGCTGGCCATACGGGGCCAAATGCCCTCGCTGCCAATGTCCGCGCAGGCGGTAAGCATAGAGATTAATTCTGTTCTTAGGTGAATCTAGTATACTCATCTGCACTTTTCACACCTTCACAGAACATTGTACAGATACGCGGACCGCATAACGCACAGCTGCAACGAACGGGTGCGGTTCAAATACGCGCCACATCTCGTCCGCCAAACAGTACGCCTACGAACAAAGTCACTGCCGTCAAGGTTGGCCAGACACAGATCAAGGCCATAACGCCCAGTTTGCATCCGCCCTCGCTGGCGGCCATATCATCGAACAGTGGACCACCGCCAACACCGACGTTATCAGTGCTATCGACGATAAATTCGGCGTCGACGACATCGTTGCCGGTGCCTTCGTTGCCCACAGTACTTCTGCCGCCGGAGGCATTGAGGGCACGCGAGCAGATGCAAAATTCGCTGCATCACAACAACAACAATCACTTTGAGCCAAAGCTGGTGGAGATTAAGGCACCGCAGCTGCCGCATATGGAACGTATCAATGCCTCGCTGACTCCCATTTCGAGCAAAACGCTGCCGCGAAGTGCGTTGCCCGTGGCCAACAAGTCGGTAAGTAAAAAGAAAAGGGATACAGTGGACCGAGAAAGCAAAGATGAGAAGGCGAATAGCGGCAGTGGGATGGCAGGATCAACAGCGGCCGCAGCCGCCAATTCATTTTTCCAACAGAGCTCTATGTCATCGTCAATATATGGCGATGATGATATCAACGATGTTGCCGCCATGGGTGGTGTTAATCTGGCCGAGGAATCGCAACGCATTCTTGGATGTACCGAAAACATTGGCACGCAGATAAGGTCCTGCAAGGACGAGGTGTTTCTCAACCTTCCAGCCTTGCAGGCGCGAATACGTGCGATAACGGCGGAACGTGGCTTAGACGAACCGTCGCAAGATGTGGCAGTGCTCATATCGCATGCGTGCCAGGAGCGGCTTAAGAATATTGTGGAGAAGTTGGCTGTGATAGCGGACCACCGCATTGATGTCATCAAGGTGAGATAAGATTTTCACTGCTCGCCAATTCAGCTCTCAATAAATGTATCCACTTCACAGTTGGATCCACGGTATGAGCCTGCGAAGGATGTGCGCGGTCAAATCAAGTTTCTAGAGGAGTTAGACAAGGCTGAACAAAAGCGACATGAAGAGCTGGAACGAGAGATGCTGCTGCGAGCGGCCAAGTCTAGAACGCGAGTCGAAGATCCTGAGCAGGCAAAAATGAAGGCGAGGGTAAGATCAATTAATCAATTAAATTACTCTGCCATTCTCTAACATACTTCTCTTCATCCAGGCAAAAGAAATGCAGCGAGCGGAAATGGAGGAGCTGAGGCAGCGCGACGCAAATTTAACGGCTTTGCAGGCAATCGGACCACGGAAAAAACTTAAATTGGATAGCGATGCGGCCGGTGTGGGCGTGGTGAGTAACATCAGCTTACCAGCGACCATTCCATTGCTTAGTCAACAAACTTGGCGTCTGCTCTACACACACAGGGTTCCAGTGGCAGCGGCCTGATGAGTAACACGGGTACAGCGACTACAACGTTAAGGCCGCGCATCAAGCGTGTCAATCTGCGTGACATGCTCTTCTTCATGGAGCAGGAGCGAGAGTTTTGTCGCAGCACGATGCTGTTCAAGACTTACCTCAAGTGATTGCTGCTGGCGCCGCTGTTGTTTACATACCTACGCACCTACAATAGTTCACCTGCACCTGTCCCTACTCCAAATCCTGCTCCAGCTACAGCTCTAGTTCCAGTTCCAGTTCCAGCTATAATTGTTCTATTAGCGCCTAGCAGCTGCGTTCTTCAATTTGCAATATTATTTAGCTGTCACATTTAATAGCGTCGTCCCTTTGTTGTTTTAGTTAGGCGCCCTATTTTAATACATATGCGTAGAAATACCAACTAAATTGTAATTAAAAAATTTTAAATCTGATGACAATTCGTTTTCCAATTAAATAGCCAGCAGCACTCAAACCAAACCAATCCAAAAAAAAAAGAAGCAAATAAGAAAACCCACACAAAACAACTCACAGTAGTAAAAAGGAAAAAACAAAAGCAAAACTCAACGTGCAGTCAGCCAACGTATGATTTTGTAATTTTAACACAATTAATTGCATTAATTGCATTGACGGCCTTATCTAAACGATATAAACATATAAATAATATGATTAAATTGTGTAGCTTAGTTTGTTAAACGAAATCGAGCGTAAATTCTAGGCTTAAGTTAGATTGCGGCATTCGAGTCCGAGGAACATAAGATGGTTTATAAAACCATCATGGCATATAAGGCGAATAAAAAAGAAAGAGGAAGCGAGAATAAAATTATAAACAAACGGAGAAATATCCACAAAAAGCATACATTGAACTAGTTGTAGTTGTTTAAACAAATTGATGTAATTTTAATTAGATTATGTATAAAACAATTACCAGAAACAAACGATAACAAAACACATTTGTAAAAAGTCCAGACTAAGTTTTTCAATAGTTTAACTAGGTAAACGCAACGTAATTAACAAATTTACGGCAAAGAACTAAACCCCGAACGTAGTTTTAGGCACTAAAAATATGTTTTTTATATTAGTGGCGCGTTCGTTCAACCAAATCGGAATCATCAATAAAAATGACAAAACTATTAAAGCTTCTGACTTCCCATTTCCAATGGGATCAGGGTATAAAAATCGATGGATTGTGTGCATATTGTAATGTTTTGTTTAATTGAAAACACTTGCACCAGCCACAAATAGTTCAATTTTATACAAAAGAAATAACAAAAACAAAATTGTAAATTACATTGAAATCGGACTAAGTATATTAATTAAAAAAGAAAAACAAATTTAAATTCTGTGTGTGTGCTAAAGAGTTACAATATGATTATGCAAAAGGTAATAGAAACCGGCAAAACCACAGACGTAAACAGCGCATAGTTTAGTAGTCATATAACTAAATATATTATTATATACATCTATAAATATATACATACATATTATGTTTTACAATTAATAAATACAAGAACCTATTGTATGTATAAATTAAGTTCAAAATGAGAAAAGCTAAAAAAAATCAACAACAAAACAAAACACAACAAAAAAATAAAACAAACTTTAAAAAACTAAACATTATTGCCGAAAATTAATCATGGATGTTGGATGTTGAGAATGTGTAACGGTATCTCAGTTAGCTAGTTAATTAATTAAATTGTATGTAGATAAATTTACCAATTTTTTTATTGCTATATTTTGTATTCATTTAATTAATATATCATT